ATGGCAGAATCATGAGAAATTTGAACAACAGCACAGGGAGAAATGGGCCTCACCCACAGGCACATGGGTGCCAGACCTGCTCATCTGGGAGTTCTGCAGTTGTGGGACTCAGTGCCGTCTGTGGGACTGCACTGAGTCTACAGGGCCAGCAAGCTGTGTAGGCTGCCCTGGAAGATGTGGTCAGAACACAGACAGCACTTGGACAGTGTGTGCTTATTTCTAATGACTCTAACATGGACTTGCCTTGCTTATGTCTTCTTTTCTAGTTCCTTTTATTGGTAATCTGTCTTTTCACTGTTTAAAAGTATTAGTCCATCACAGGTTGGAAATTAGACAAAATAAAGTGAAAATACAGCCTTCTCACAGTAAGAGTGAGAAACTCTGATTCGTAAACTGGTTGACCCTTAGTATACACCAGGGTCCTAAAACCAATCCTTGGAACCTGGCCATCACCGTGGGATCTGGCTTTGGTAAAGGCATCTGGCTCTGGTAAAGGCGGGGCACCCATTAATGCCGCTGTCTAGTCAGGACCTGCCAGAGCAGCTCGTTTGCACACCTGAGACAATCCTGTTCCTCCCTTGTGTCACTCAGGGTAGACGTGATGACAACATCCCCCTCAGAGAATTCTCACAAACACCAAGTACTATCAAATATGGTCCCTGTGCTGGACCAGGAAGCTGTGCAGATGCTGCTATTACTACTACAAATTGTTGCAAGTTTCAATTCTTACAATGGCTCTACTGCTAAAATTATTCTTCCAAATAATCATTCTACCGAAAGTGATCCATTGGTGGGGTGGAATAAAGAATGAGAAGGGCAAATAAAGATGCACTTCTTAGAGTGTGTAATGTATCAGGGGGGTGTATGTGAGCTTTGCGGGAACTGGGAGCTGGAATGGGATTATAAAGATTCCCACAGTACCCCTAGTTTGAAATGTGTGTAAATGCCTAATAAAATAGGCTTAAGATTTCACAATTTAAAATTCATTCTTAGCATTTGCTAAGTTTTTATATTTCAGGAACATCTACTAAAATATGTACACTTATTCTTATTCCCCTTTTCTTGTCACTTTCTGAAGCAGCTCAGGAAATCCCCTTCATGAGTGGGTTTATAAGGGGTTATGGCTTGTATCTAGATGTCCTTCCAAAGCCTCATGAACTCATAGGTGGAGCTTTTTGGAAGTGGCTGGACCTAGGATGTCTGCGTGTGGATTAATGGTGTGATGCTAGGGTTAAGGGTGTGTGGATTAGTCTTTCAATGACTCAGCATGGTTATTGGTGTGGCTAATGGAAGCCCCGCCCTGGATGAGGATGACACCAATCAATAGACTTACAGCCTGGATGGACTTACAGCCAGGAAGAGAAGGAAGACAGCTGCTGCAGCTAGTACTGCTTGCTGCTTGCTGCCTTCTGCTTGCTATAGTATGAACTGTTTCTCCTCTGTGATGTCCCTTTACCATGCTGCCCTGCTTTGGAGCCAGCCAACAATGGACTAAAACATCTACAAACCGTGAGCTGAAATAAACCTTTCCTCATTTAACATTGGGTGTTGGGTATTTTGTCTCAGTAATGGGAAAAGTAACGAAGGCACAAGATGTGATTAAAAAATATAGTCAATGATGTTTCCATGTGCTACCCAACAGAAAGGCAAGCATAAAAACATCACAGTTTGTCTCCATCCACTTTATTCAACAGATCTGGCATTATGAGACTTCTGGCTCTTTCCTAAAGTGAAAATGGCTATGAAAGGTACACATCTGAGTAGATTCAGAGCCTCCAGGCAGCCATAACAACACAAGTAAAGACACACAAGGAACAGGACTTTCAGAATTGCTTTAGAAAGTGGCAAGAATTATGGGATGAGTATTTTCAAAGTGAGTGGAGTATTTTGAGGGGGATTAATGGCAATGTGTTTTTTCTCTGTAGAAAGTGTTTTTTATTTGAACATATACCTTATTGTAGTTTTTTATCATATCTTATTTGTTAATGATAAGTATCCTTTAGTCCATTTTCTATCAAGTTGCCTTTCTAAAATGCTTAGAGGATGTGCAAAGTGTATTGAAAGGCAGGCTGGAAACCTGCAGACTGCCACAAAGGGGTGCACAGAAGAGGGAGCATGAGGAAAGGAGAAAAGCCTGGGGCCCTGAGGACCAGGCTTGTCTACAGCATAACTCAGCACACCGGGCAGAAGAGCAGGTGGACAAGGGTTCCGGCAGTGGACTAAGTGGGCTGCTGAGCTGACCTCTACCACAGTGTACTTAGTAACAGCCCAATTACCAGACATTTTACCACTTCTGGTGTAATTGATGAAATCCATTTGTATTCTATGGCGAGTGGTTGTTATTACCTTGAGGAATTTACTGAAGTCTCCCTGGGCCTCAGTTTACTCATGGGAAAGATCAGAATTCCAATATCTATGTCACAGGGCAGTTTACTGAATGGAGTGACATAATACCTATAAAATGCCCGCTCCAGTATGAAGTGATTATTCTTTATGGCTTGACAATGTAACATGACCCTTTTCCCTGCTGCAGAAATAATATATCTGGTGTTCAAAACTAGTACTTTTTAAAAAAGGATTCATGAAAATAAAGATATCTGATAATCCCAAACATCTACATTTAGTTAATACTACTATATCTGCTTATCTCTCAAGATTTTTTTATTATGCTGTTTGGAATAGTTTAAAATTATACCTCTTAATTAATAATTTATCATGAATATATATATATATATTATTAAACATTTCTATGTCTTGTAAATGATAGCTATAATTTTATTGTGTGTTTATAATGAAATTTACTGCAAAACTGCTTTTTCTAATCTTTGTTTCTTTCCTTTTTGTCGTTAGATAAACACTGAGACAGATACCCCTATGGGTAAATCTTCACAGGTCAAAGAATGATTTCTAGTAGACTTGTGGGGTAAAAACTTGCCCTATTTTTATGTTTTGTTTTTTCTGGTGGCTACAGAAATGAGCATTAAGAAGGTTTACGTCACTTTATGCCATCATCAGCCATGAATGAGTCACTGTTCGATTGTCAGCCTTGGGTAACACAGGGCTGGAGGGGAGTGTACACCTGTGGAACACACAGACACACGCATGCACACACACACACACACACACACACACACATGTGCGTGCAGCTCCTGTGGGTCTGTTAAGGAGGAAGCCAGGGTGACCTCAGGAACTCCCCAGTCTCCTGCAGGCCACAGTTAGCCATGCAGTTTCCCAGCAGAGGGACCCACCAGCGGGGCTCTTGGATCCCCACTCTCTCAGGGCCCCTGACTGGAACAGGAGCAGCCTGTGAATTATACCCTACCTGCCTTTTCAAGACTCTATTGCCCACCTTTTTAAGCCAGGGTGACCTCAGTAACTCCCCAGTCTCCTGCAGGCCACAGTTAGCCATGCAGTTTCCCAGCAGAGGGACCCACCAGCGGGGCTCTTGGATCCCCACTCTCTCAGGGCCCCTGACTGGAACAGGAGCAGCCTGTGAATTATATCCTACCTGCCTTTTCAAGACTCTATTGCCCACCTTTTTCCAGAATCTTTTAAAGCTGAATAAATGCTACCTTTGCCCATTTGGGGGTTTAAACTACTTTAATTTCAATACACTGACTCATCTAAATAAAACCACAGGGCTGACCTCATTCTTTTAGTGATGCCAAACATGGTGAGCGATTCTACTCAAATATACTGAGTGGCAAGTTTTTTGTTATGAAAAGCTTTCAGCTATACTTCCTTTCCACTGAAAAGCACAAACTTTTAAATGTAAATTGTTATGTGAATGCTGGAAGAATTGGTTTCCCAAGGGTCCCCTGGCCTAGGATTGCGGGGATGCTAGCGTCCTCGCCATAGGAGCAGACAAACCGCACAGTCCACTGGCATCCTTCCCCAGGGCAGAGGGGAAGCACAAACTGCTCACAGGGAGGTTACAGCCCATGAGCCCGTGTGATGAGTCCTATTTCTTACTTTTCATGAAAAGTAGGTAGAAAAGTCAAAGTCCCATCCTCAATAGGGTTTATGATAATACTTAAAGTGAGGATAAGGACCTTGATGAGGGATGAAGCTAAAGTCCCTTTCTTCCTGATCCTTGGGGACACTGCTACTGGGAACACTGCTACTTGTCACCTTACTCACGAGCCAGTAATGGCTTCAGAAACCTTTTGGAAAGAGCACCAAAAGCCTCTGCTCTCTGAACACAGAACTGTGAGTCTTCCAAGAAATTAAAACGATGACAGGTAGAGAAAAAAGATAAAAGCAAAACATCAAGAGAGCAAATCACTAAAAGAAGAATAGGTAAAGAATCTATTATTACAGCTAATGAAGTTAAAAAATATTGGTAGAAAGCTTTGAAAGTGTGCATATTAAAATACCTACATACATCTCCCAAACAGTTCACACTGAACTGAAGCCTGAGCAAAAAATTAAACAGGAATAATCTGTGCTTCTTTTAGATGATTTTTCAGAAAACAAGAGGAAGAGGATAGAATCATTTTTCTTTCCACAAACAATTCACGAACAAAAGAAACTCTAACGCAGTCAGTAACTAATTTAACTCTTTTTCAGTAAAAAGACTGATGCGTCAGTAAATTTAGAAATTCCAATCAAGGCCCTCTGTGCCATTGGTCCCACTGAGTCAATTAACAAGAACTCTGGGGACTGAACCACTGGGGAAACAGGACCCGGAGACTATACCCCACTGTCACAGTGGTAGAGGGATAATATTTAAAATCTGTAAGCAGGAACCTAGAAGCTCAGGAACACAGCCTTGGATACCACATGACAAGGTCCAGGCGAGAAGCATATTGCTCTGAGAGAGTAAGGACAAGCACTGTGGGCGACAGCATCAAAATGACACTGTGAGTTTGCAGATGTATGTTCAACGGAGCCAATGGGCCACAGCTAATATTTATAAATTCAGGATCGGCTCAGGGATTGACATGGAAACAGAAAAGTCACATGTGGAACTGAACACCCTATTATTCTGGGTAGGCTGCTGATGGCACACAGGAAAACAACAAGAGCAATGATGAGTGTGATCTTCTTACCGGGAGGAAAAATAAATTTTGTGCACGCAGAACCGCTGCCTGGCTAGGTGAGGCAGAAAAGTTTGTGTCTGATGCATTGGCAGTTGGAAGGACTGTCTCCTCGGAGTCACTCAAGAAAAACTGCAAAGAGAAATGATTGTTTAAAGCGAATTCACGCAAATCAGATAAAAATAGACAGCAGGAGGGAGCTGCAGCTAGGAAGGACTGTGCTGCCTGTGTGTAGTCGGCAGCATTGTTGGTGTGGACACTTGCTTTCTCTAACCTTCAAATGCTTCTGGTTTTCATTTTCTCCTTTTTGAAGTTTTGGTAATTGGTATTCCTAAGTAACTACTCTACACTTCACATTCAGTAGACAATTCTACATCTTCAATTCCAAGGAAAATGGAAGGACGTGTGTTAAATATTAAAAATATACAGGATAGGGAAGAGGGGCAGATTAGCTGACGGTGCCACATACACAGAAGTGAAACTTTCCACCACAGAATTGGCGCCTTCAGAACACGTTCCTGTAGTATCTTTGCTTTTCTTAGTCCAAACAGTAAAAAGTCAATACAGTTCCACAAGTTTTTGATCTTAAGAAAGGAAATTAATTTCATAGGCACAAGGCAGTCGCTGATCCCAGCATTTGTATCTATTGTCTGTGAGTGCTTGGAAGTTCAGATCAAGAAGGGTTACAGATCTGAGAGGATGGGACTGTTGGAAAGGCGGTTATAGCTAAAAACCAAAAAGTAATCTAGAAAAGATAAAGCTGATTAGCTCTTTTTTATTTTTAAAAATTTTTACATATTTTTCATTCCCCTCTTCCCTTTCTCCCATCTTCCTCCTTACTTCCTCTTTAGGTGAATGTATCCACAATGTATTCCTAAAATGTACCAATGAACAATGGAAAAAGTTATCAGTACGTGTTTGAAGTACATGGGATTAGATTCAGCGTGGGGAGTTGGGACATGAACAAAACACATCTGAATTCTTTTTACTTCCCCTGTCCCCTCTCTCCAGCTCTTGGTCCCCTTCTGCTTTACAAAATAGATAATAGCAAGCAGGGAGGACAGTAACTAGCGCGTACGTAATGTTCAGTAACATCATCAGTGTCAAACAGGTAGCAGGGCAGGAGAGACAGCCTCCTGTGCTTCCCTCCCTGTGTCTCTCCCAGTCACCAAGGACCGCTGCACAGTGATAGAGCTGAAAGTCATAGAAACATTCTGGAAAGACTAACCAAGAAATCATCACTTGTGCCAGGTTCCTTTTACTGAGAGAAATTAATGTCCTCTTTAACTCCAGGTTGTGTTTTCTGCCTTGGGCTAAATATTCATATTCAACATTTAAAAGTAAAAATGTCCTGTATGTTTCCATAGTTGCTTCTATTTGTGTCTATTCATGTATTTCTAATTCTTTTCATGGCATAGTTCTTGTCAAATATCTACTTAGGTAGACAGGAAGATACTTATTTAGTATTTTGGGGAGAGACGGCTCTCCTAGTCCAAGAATGACACTAGATGTAGTGTTTCTACCATTTATGTGATTTGATAACATGCAGCAAAGTGCTAATTTAAAAATCAAAGAAATTCAGATTCTTTTATTAAATGCTTCAGCATTTATAACAAATGCACAACTTTGCACTGAGCCAAAAAATGCGCTAGTTCTTTGGGTAAAGTTATTATCAGGGGAAAACATGAAGTATTGCTTGGTAAATACTGAGGTCTAAAATGTTATAAATTCAGATTTGACAGATTCAAAATTCAATAGATTTAAACATTAAACAAAAAATGACAAATAAAACCAGACTGCTTGGTTCGGGGGGTTCCTACTCAGGTTAGTTTTAGGCACCCAGGATCTTAAGATAATTAACAAAAAGCTTCTTGGTTATATGGCCACATCAATAAGTTAAGAAGAAGCATCAAGTTCTTGCTGTGAGAAAGAAACATAACTCATGAAAACCCTGTGTTCCCAAGAATGCTACACAATACCACGATGGGGTCAATTTGAAAGTCACAGAAACTTCCAATGAAAGAACAGAAGACTGCTCCCAGAGGTCCATCTAGAAACACTAGAAAGCATTCATTAAATATCCCCAAATCAACAAATTCTTCTCATTCCTTGTCCTTCTTTCTTCCAAGTAAAATGGCCTCAACTTTTTCCACAGAATGAATTCCAAGAATTGCATTTTTAAATGGAATTCTTTGTTGGAATCATTTTATTTGATTAAATCTTTGGATATAATTAAAAAAATGATATCGTCATCCTAACCAGATATCCTCCTAACATGCTAAAGAATACCACACCTATTTAGCTTTACTTCAAAAATTTATATTTCTTAGACAACTTGAAATACATCAGAATTATGCATTTTCAATCATGTTAAATCATGAATGCACGGTTTCTTACGTTGTCTTACACCTAATGACATTATTGTGCTTTCCATTTGGTTGGAATTAGAAGTACAGAGGGATTCCTAATTAACTAAAGCTAACTCTTTGTCTGTGGGGCTCACATATTTAATACAATTAATTTATAATAGATCTTTTAGAAGCTTCTCAAAATAAGTTGCAAAACGATGTGGGCAGTCACATGGTGACACTGTCAAAGTGTCAGAAAAACAATGGCAGCTTCTCAGACATGATTCTGACAGTTGCCCACAAGCTAAACTGAAAAAAAAAACAAAACCAAAAACAAAAAACAAGGTCATTTGCAACTTGATACCAAGAAAGGCTGTATTTGAAAATAAGATGGATTATTAATTGTTTTTCTCCACTTTTCAGTGAGGTATTTGGTATCACATAGGCGAACATCAGATGTTTAAAATACTTTGCAAAAATCTCAAAATTCATTTTACGTGGAACTGACAGAGACACTGTATCTCTCACTATCAGAGTGTAATGGGATTTTAGAAAGCCAGTCCTCTGAAAGCACGCTTCTGCTGACCCCGGCTCCTGTAAGGGCTGTTAAAATGTAGACTCGGGAAGAAATCCTAGCGATGAAAAGTCATGTGTGACTTCCACCGGGATGGTCAGGCCCCTTCTTAGTCAACAGCAGAGGAAGGTCCCAGGTGCTCCCGCGGCTTCAGAAGATCCCGACACAGCCCCCGCTCTGAGCTAATTAAGGTCAAGGTAGGTGATGGGAGAGATACAGGTAGTAACGGCTGTCAGCTGGTTGGAAAAATGCATGGTAAACTGAGGCCTGCCAGCTGCAGGGGGGCTGTAGCAGCAAAAAGAGAATGAGCACCCAGCAGCAGTATGACAAGGGGCTCAGGCAGACCTCACGGAGTTCCTAAGGGAGTCACTGGAATCGGCACAGAGAGCCGTGGGCCAGGTGCGGGGTGGGGAGGGAGGCACAGGGCGCTGGTTCTCACGGGTGTCAGTTTGTGTTTGAAGTGGAGCTGGGTGGTGGTGAGTGTGCGACACCGCAGATGTACCGAACAGTGCTGAGTTGTACACGCAGAAGTAGTTAAACGATATATTTCATGCTACGTGTTACAAAAATAAACATTAAGATCAAAAAAGAAAATGAAAACATCCTTGTTTTAATCCCTAAGAGAAAGCACAGGGCTGATGTGTGAGGACCCGAATGAGCCTAAGACTTTCGGGAAGTTCAGTTTTCATCCCAGGGAGGAGTAAGCAGGTGCCCACGCCACGGCCACAAACTCAAGGTGTGCTGTTGCTATGGAGACATCGCCCCAGCGGGAGAGAGACCTGGGGAAGATACTGGGCTGCAACTCCAAGATGGGCTCCGCGAGCCTGGAAAATGAGTTTCCCCAAGGAAATACTAGGGGAAATGTAACGCTCCACACTCTGGTGGGCACCGCAACCATGCGCAGCGAAGACGGGGCTCTCGGGGTCTGCATGCTGCACGCTGCCCTGGAGAAGGGCAGGGGCCCGAGACTGCCTGGCCCCAGCCGGGCCCAGCAGCTGCAGGCATCTCTGCACCTCGGCTGTGAGGGAAGGCAGGCCCCGCGGCGACAAGCCTTTCCGCTGCTGCCAAGACCTCTCAAACAGCGCTACAAGCGCAGGGAATCGCTTCGCTTCTGTACCTCAACTCTGCGGCCCTTCTCCTCCAGAGGGAAGAAGTAACTGTGAGCAGACTTGGTTCCTCCCCTTCTCCTTGCAGGGTCGGGAAGGAAGGAAGGAAGGCGGATCGGCTGGTTCCTTGCTCAGCAGAGGGAACAGAAACTCTTAGTTTCCTTCTCCAAGGCCGTCCACCCTTCCGCGCCTGCGTCTTCCAGAAGCCCCTCGACCTCCCTCGGCAGCGGCGCCTTGGTTTGCAAGGACAGACAGCAGCACTGGGAAACGCACGTCCAGTCCTGACGGTGAATTTCCTCCCCAAGGGATCACAGGTAGTGTGGATAAGAAGCCTCCGCCTAAACGCTCAGCCTGTCAGACTGATAGACGGTGACTCCACTGGCTGTTACCACACGTGAAACATGCTTAGCTCTCAAGTCAGATGCTTCTCACTTACATTCTTATAAAAAATTAAGTGATAAATCTTGGACAGATCCCTTATCTTGGTGATAAGGCAAACCAGATTTTACAAAAGGAAAGGTATTCTCTTTGAAAGCGTGTGCTTGCCTATTTGTTCACCTGCTATGCTTTCATTCACTCGTTTAAGAACTAATGAGTGGTTACTCCTTACACAGGAAGCACTTTCCTAGGACATTTTGAAAAATAAGTAAAGAAAAAACTCCTCAAAAAATGTCTTCCTGTGTACTCCAGTGTTTATTCATAATAGCCAGGACACAGGAACAGCTTATGTGTTTACTGACTGTTGGATAGATAAAAACACATGGTATAGGTGTGTATATATCACTGTGATATGGTGCTTTTAATTCTTTTGGGAAGGTACCCAGCAAGGGAATACCTGGGTCAAATGAGACCGCTAATCCTATTTCTTTGAGGTATCTCCACACTGATTTCCACAATGGCTGCACCAGTCTACACTCCCACCAACAATGGAGAAGGGTTTCTTTTCCCCACAGTCCTGCCGGCATTTGTCATTGGTGGATTTCTTGATAGCAGCCATTCTTTCTGGGGTGAGGTGGAATCTCAGTGTTGTTTTCATCTGCATCTCTCGAATGACCAGTAATATTAAACCTTTTTTATATGTTGATTTGCTGTTTCTACTTCTTCATCTGATTAATATCTGTTCATTTCAGATTCCCATTTTTGGATGGGGTCTTTAAATCTGGGGGTGTCTGATTTTTTAAAGTTTTTAATATATTCTAGATAGCAGACTTTTGTCTGAGGAACAGCTGTTAAGAATTTTTTCCCACATTGTAGGTTGTCTCTTCACTCTCTTGGTGGTTTTCTCTTGCTGTGCAGAAGCTTTTAAATAAGATGAGATCCCAGCTGTTGATTCTTTGTGCTAGTTCCACTGAGAATGAAGTTTTGTTCATAAAGTCTTTTCCAACACCAATGTCTTCAAGAGTTCTACCTAACCTATCTTCTAGCAACATTTATAGCGGCATAGTTTGTAATAGCTAAATCTTGGAAATAGCCCAAATGCTGTCCATCAACTGGTTATTGGATAAAGATGTGTAAGTTTTTTTTAACAAAATGGAATACTACTCAGCTATAATAAATGAGAAACTAGACACATTTATAGCTATATTGGTGCACTTTGAGGCCATATTCCTTAAGTGAAGTAAACAGGACACGCACCCTCCCTGGTGGCTTCAGGACAGCTGGACTCTGCTGTTTCGCTGCTCTCCCATGGAGTTGACTTCTGGCTCAGCCAGCTCCCGCAGCTGCAATGTGCCCCACTGCTTTGGGCACATGCTGTGCCCTCTGGGGACCGGGCTCTGTGCTGCAGCATGGTGCACAGATGCAGGTCACAAAGCAGAGCAACAGAAGCCCCCTTTTAGAAACACACTCCTGTGTCTGTAGCCTCCAACCAGTGTCCCTCACCTGCCTTTCTGCCCATCACCCCATGGTGTCTTCACGATCCCCAAACATCACTTGTCCACCGCAGACAGGCATGTCCTGCCGCTAACACACCAGCAGTGGGGCTCTTTTCGGAAAGTCCTCCTCCCTCTCTCGAGCCTCCCACCCTCTGTCCCCAGCCCGAGTTTGCTGCCCCTCCATAGGCCAACAAGCACCTCAGGCTGGGGACAGAAGCCTCCACCTGAGCCTTGGCATCTTAAAATCCTCCCAGAGAGGGCCATTCTCCAGGATGTTGTCCTTGTCCAGACGTGGCCCCAGTTCCTGGCTGCTTCCCCCTCCATCTGGAGGGGTGCTGGTTGGCATGCCTGGGAGGCTTAAGACGAGGCTCCATCCCTTAGCAAGGTGCTATCATCCACACAGCAGGAAGTGGGCCTCAGTGCTGCCAGGGTCCAGGAGGACGAGGAGACCAGCCCAGGGCTGCTCACTGATTTTATAAAACAGCAGCAGCAGGTCCATTAGCTGCCCTGTTGGCATCTCACACACCCACCAGGGCAGGCAGGGAGGAGGGGGAGAAGGAAGCTTCTATGCCATGTCCCCCTTCTGCAAGATCCTTTTCTAGGCAGGATGAGCAGATGGCAAGACCCCCCACACCTCACCCCAGCTCCAGGTGGCATGGGCCTCTCCTGATCTCCAGGTGCCTCAGAGGAAGTGTGGGCTGTTCAATAAGACACTGAGAGTCGATCCCATGTAAACACTTGGGGTCTCTGTCCACTTCTGGAGTCTATCCTCACTGCTTCTTAGATCCTAGATCTAAAAGTCTTAGATCCAAAAGTCCTGCCTCTGCACCTGCTATCCACCTTCTCCTGCTCCTCTTTTTCTGCAGGGGTGAATGCCTTCTCCCCACCCATCCTCAGCTGAGTAGGCTCTCTTGGCTCCTCCTTGCCCTTGTATTTGCTTTTGTCACCATCCACAGTGTGTTTCAGGATGGTTTAGGGATGGGTCTCCCTGGCTGTGTCACACACTCTGCAACACACAAACTGCCAAGGCACTTTCTGGTGGCGGCGATGATGATGGTGGTGAGCAGAGGAGGAGGAGAAGGAGGAATGCATCATGAAGTATACTGATGGACTGCCTATTTTGAGGGAGAGACCAGTAACAATGGTGATGCTAACAGTAGGAGTGGATGTTGGTTCTTTATTTTATTTTTGGTTCTTGGGATTGAACTCAGGACCTTGCACTTATGAGGCAGGTGGCGGCACTACTGTGCTAAATCCCTGGCCCCAGAAGTTGGCTCTTTGCTTACAAAGAGCATAGTGTTGTCCTCAGGGTGGTGGGAACATCAGCTCAGTTGATTCTGAGAACTGCCCCAGAGGAGAAGTCTCTGCCCTCACTTTCAAGAAGTGGAGATGGAGCCTCTGCAGCTGAATGAAGACCTTTCCCACGGTGGGGCTGTGGCTGGGAATCAGGCCTTCTGACTGCTCGCCTCACTTCCTAGTTTAATGGCTCCCACAGGCTCACGAGCAGAATTCCTGTCATGCCCAGAGCTTGCCGGCAACTTCCAGGCACACAGAAGCAGGAAAGTTCTCTGAGGAGCCTCCCTCCCTCTTGGGGTGGCTTGGGCAAGTCCACCCTTCACCTTAGATATCTGCTGCTGCAGCCGGGAGATGCTTAGTGTAACCGGTGTCACCAAAGGAGCCATGGGTATGTACTATGCCAATACTGGGCCCCACAGGCCCCCAGAGGTGAGAGTGCCCAGCCTGGGCCTTACCATGTTGAACACAGCCATGATCAGTATGATGGCTGTGGTGACCACAGTGAGGGAGATCCGTGGCCAGGGCCGGTTTGCAATGATGCCCGAGGACTTCAGAAGCCACATGAGCGAGGCGGAGGCCTTTTTGCTGCATTGCTGGAAAGAGAGAGAAAAAGAAAAGGAAATGCTGTGCTATTGAGTGGGTCCTCTCATGGTTAGGAGAGGCGATGACAACGTTAAAAACTCAAGAGGCGCCAACACGGGTCGTGAATTAAACGAGTGGATACTGTCCTCCCCTGGGGATGTAGACCAGTTAACAAACCTAAGGAGTGTTGGTATCATCATCACAAATTAATTGTTTAATTAATTAAATTCAACAAATTGAATTTGTAGGATGTAATGCTATGATATTCATAGAAGTCTTATAAAATAGACCCAGAGTTGTGTTTTTAAGTAAGGGAAGATGTTGGTTAATTAAATCACTCCGGGACATGAGTCTCATCAGAAACAGCAAGTACGCATTCAGCTGATTCGTGGAGAAAACAGACCAGCATGCCATGCTGGTCTCCCACCCCTTTTGCTGCCACAGTTGGTGACCCTTGGGACAGAAGGAGCGCGCAGGTTTAGTGTGGTGTCTGAACCTGCAAAGATGACGTCCTGAGGTCCCAGGGCTGAGGCGGGAGGGCTCTGCCACATCCAGTCCTGCAGGACTTCCTCCCACGGTGCTCCTTGGTGTTGGGCCTAGGCCTTCACACTGAGCTGTATCCCAGCCCTTTTTAAATTCTTATTTTGAGACAAGGTCTCATTATGTTGCTCATTTGCTAAATTGGGCTCAAACTTGAGAACTTCCTACCTCTGCCTCCCAGAGTGCTGGGATGACAGGTGTGACCGCCATGCCTGGCCTCTCGACATACAATGCGCAATTTACCTTCAACATCATCTCAAGTGTGCAGTGCAGCCACATAGATTGCATTCACTCTGCCCTGTGACATCTCTAGAACTTTTTCGTTTTGCAAAACAAACTCTACCCATTGGACAACAACTCTCCCTCTTCCCCTCTTCCTACACAATTCCGTGCTTCTCCTTCTTATTTTCATGATTTTGACCTTGACCACCCCCCATGGAAGTGTATTCATGTAGTACTGTCCTTGTCTAACTGACTACTTCACTCCACATCAGGTCTACAGGGCTCATCACAGTGTAGTACAGGACAGAATTTCCTTGTAAAGTTGAACAAAAGCCAGCTGTGAGCACACACACATTTGGTTTAGCCATTCACCCACTGCAGGACACACAGTTGCTCTGTTTCTTAGCTTTCCTGAACAATTCTGAGCCTGGCTGTTGGAAATGCTCTCTTGCTGCCAGAAGGAGCTGAGGTCTTTAGCAGATGATAGCAGGCCTCTCCCCACTTACCAAGGGGTAGACATAGCTTGGTGGACTCTCAGAGATGAGAGCACCTTGACATGAGGGCCACCACTTGAGGAGGGAGGCACAGCGGACAGGACACAGGTACAGACATTACCAGGAGGCATGGGAACCACAGGCGTGATGTTATCTGATGTGACAGCCACGCCTGAAGACCTCCTCAGGAATCTGAATTTTAACCTTGATGCTAAAGAGGCTGTGGCCCCACAGCCTGGTGTTCTGGGAGCAAACAAAAGTGATGACTCAAAAAACTCAGAGGAACAAGTAAGGAAACGATGCACTTAGACCCTTGGATCTATTGTACTAAGTTAATCTAGCGGTAGATCTGAGGTGTCACCCATAAAAGCCAAATGGAAAGCACTGCTCAGTACAGCTAGAAAACACCACCCAGATTGCTCTACCTCTTTCACATTTTCTTTCTTGTTATTCTGAAGACTGCTGTTGACATAGCATTGCAATATGTTAAATGTCAGCCCAACAATCAAACATGATTAATTCAAGAGCAGAGGTGATTAGAAGGCAGAGGGTCAGCCAGAGGCCCGCACAGCCATGAAACATTCTGCAAGGTATTCAACCTCTCTGACCTCAGTTTTTCCACCTCTAAAATGGGAGCACAGTGGCATTTGCTTCCTTGGCCTTTTCAGAGGCCCGCAGAGCAGCACAGACCACGGGGGACGACTGAGAAGTGTCAGCTTCCACGTATTTTCAATGAAGAAAACATGGCATTTCACAGAATTATTTTAGGGACTAAAAACCAACTTGCTTTATACCTCTTTGTAAGAGAGCAATACAAGCTTTTGTTTCTCCTCCTTCCACTTGGTCTTTTTCTCCTTGCAGATCCAGATGTAGAAGATGCAGGGTGTCTGTCTACAGCACACAGCCTAACTTGCACATAAGCCCACATTTCATGTTTGCTCCTTGGGTGATTTACCTGACCTTTCCCTGATTCCCCTGTGAGCCTGTTGGGGCTTGACTAGCACTGCCCTGAGCACTGGAGGCTCAGGAGCTGAGCAGCTGGTGCAGGAGGTGCAGTTGGCCAGGGCCCAAAGGGCATCTTCTCCCTGGCAAATAGAGAGCCAGCTCCTCACGTCATACTTTTATCCAAGTTCAGAACTGTGATAAGGCTTGGTGGTGGCCTTAAACTTGTCACACAACAGGGTGCTCCTAGTGCTCCGAATACACAATATTTTAGAAATCCAGGTGGCCACAGAACATCCACCTGAGCATGTGCATTGTTGCTGAGTGGGTGGAGTTCTCTGCAGTTAAGAAGCCGCCTTCTGAAGCTCCGGGTTTCTTGAGGAGTCTCAGTTCTGGCTTTTATCTTCTGCAAGCCCAGGAGAGCCTGTTCTTTCTTCCTGTGTACACTAAAAGCCCAACCTCTAGGTTTGTAGCACAGGTTCTGCTGCAGGGCATGCCTGGAGCAACCCTGTCTGTCCCTTGGTGATTTCCCTTTGGGTCTCTCATTAAGGTAGCAAACATACTCAGCAAGCATTGGGTGGGTCCCTCCTGCCTAATAAGACCTGCTGTGTTCACTTTACTCCACCAGCTGTGGGTGTGGCCAGGGCTACTATGTCAGCAAGGACTGTCCCATGAGGACAGTGCCCCAGTGTCTCAGCACAGTCCTGAGAAAGGGCTGTGGCTCACACTGGGCTGAAGAGAGAAGTGGGCTGATTTCACAACATATGATTGACTGAAATAAAGAAATATCCCCATAAGAAATTCAAGTGCAATTAGATAATCAAAGTACATGAGAAAGTCTTCAGAACATTAATATTATGGGTAATTATACCTTTATATGCCCCTGCCTTTCAGAACCAAGGTCTTCAACCAATTTCAATGAGAAGTAGATGCTCCTCTGGAAATTCTCAGAAGCACATGATTTCATGAAAAAACTAAACCACTGTATTTCTCAGACAAGATTTTAACATAGGTTTTGCTTTCCTAGTAATAAAAATTTCTTAGCCTCTCTGTTGTGTTTATGACTTTTCTGAGCTTTAAAACATTGTACTAATGAAACTTTACCTAATATATGCATCTTGTTCTTTTGTATGTTATCTTATTTTTTAATGATGAGTACTAATGAAATCGTGATGCAGTCTACCTTCATAAATTTTAAGTTAAATTCTGAAGAATTACTTTTATAGCTAAAGCACCTACCAGTTGCTTCCAATGCAAGATATTCAAATTAAGAAAGGGACAAGGGAGCCGGGGGAAGGGGAAACATTTTCAGTAGAATTTTTCCTTTTAAAAAAATCTAAATAGATTGATAAGGATTTTATTTCCCCATGGAAGATCTATGTGTACAAAATTAAGAATCAATACCCTGGTCACTCCCCCAGCATTAACTCCGCAATAGTGTCTGCCATGAATGTGTGTCCTTTCTTCTCCGGCGTCTCTCTGTACTTTCAGTACCAATTCTGTGCTTGATAGTTGTGAGCATTTGTGACTTCTAGAGGAAGAAACAGTATTCAGCAGGAACAGTGAGCAAAGAAATTTTTGACAACAAGAATTATGGTAATGATGAATAATTCGGGTAGCTCAAGTTCAGAAAAAATTTAAATAATACTAGCATGGACAATGGGAAGAGATCCTTGGACTTAGAAAAGGGTCCTTGTATTGATCCCAAAGATGTAGGTATTAATGGGTCTTGTTAATTAGGTATACAGTTTACAGGTTTTAAGGCAATAACCAAAACCTAAATTACAGATCAGACTAGAACATGCAATGTCCAACTTATCTGAGAGAATAAAAGAGGACAAACTCTATAGGTAAAGAGGAGGGCAAAGAGAAGAGAAAAAAATAAGTAAAAGTAAAGAAGATACCTGGTGGATTAAAACACACACACACGCACACACGCACACACTCACACACACACACACACACATGTAGCCTGTGACAGTGATTATATATAATACAAGTGAAAGGATCACAATAGTTAAGAGAGACTTGGAGGTGAGAGACACTCACATACAGCCAGACTTGTTTACTAGAGATACAACCAAACCTGCACACCAACAAGGAGAAGCTGAGAGCAAAAAGACAGGAAAAGGCACAGCAACAAATCCAAATGAAAGAGGGCTGCTATGTTTTATTCACATTAGAGAAAACAGACTTCAAGGGAAAAGCTCTCCCCTGGGGTGGAAAGATTTCCTGCTTGCCAGTGTGTGACCTACTTTTCCTTTCCAGGACAACTTCTGAGTTTGTGTTCTCATCTCTGCCTGGGACGTGGTAGAGGAGGTGTCATATCTCTGCTACACAAAGCACAAGGTAGCAACAGTGGGAAAAACATTTCTTCTGATGCTTTCTAGCCCTGGCATTTGCTGAGTCTGGTATACTTGTTCCAAAGATGAATTTTTTTGTTAGTAGTGTTTTTGGTTAGAGTCACTCTCTTGTATTTGGTTCAGAGATGAAAGTCCATCTCAGGTAGTTTAGAAACTTAAATCTGACAGTAAGCATGCACTTATTACAATTACTGTATGAACTATCTATAGTTGTTCTTTTATCACCAATTGCAATGACACTGTGAGCCCAAATCTCTATAGTTTATTTCTACCTGGATAAAATTCATTGTTTATCAAACAAAAACACTTTGATAAGCTTTACTGCGCATAGATATATTTTGCAAAGTATCATTATTCTTAAGAGTATTTTTTCAAAGCCCAAAGGCAATTATAAATACATCTTTTCATTTTATTAAATGGCTTTTAAGATGGAGTTACTGTTTCGAGCGTTCTAGATCAGGAATGGAATAATGCACACGAGAACACCAGAGAAAAGGAGATGAGAACGGTGTGACATGAGCTCGCCTTGTCTCCCCAGAGGGACCTGGGTCAGGCAGATAGCACAGGGTGAATTTGGTGCGCGCCACCCCGTGTCTGTGAACGGGGACGTCTCTGCCCACCACGGAGCCCCCTTTGCTGGGGACTTTCCATGCCACCTGACCCTCTGGAAACTGCTTTCACAGTGGCAAGTTTTATTCGCAATTCTGACTCCCGTACCGGGACGGTGGTGCTGTTCACTGAGCAAGGGAAGTGGCCTTGTCATGAAGTGTAGCATGGACCTTCGCTCCCAGGGCCATCATAAGGATAAATGAGCCAGTGTATGGGAAGTGTCTGGCAGAGGAAGAAGGCCTTTTTAGCGTGATATTCACCGATTATGAATTCCAGTCGGGGTGGGGTTGGGAGTCCTCACGAGGACCCTGCCCACCAGCAGCCCTCTGGATCAATTCTGAAGGTTCTAATGCAAGGGCACAAGGCATACACAGGGAGCACAGTCATGACAGCCATAGTTCTGCTCCAAAGTGCCTGGAGATCTGGCTGACCCTTGTGCGTTACTCTTCATGAGGGAAGCTTTAGTCTGAATGACTGGAGCTGGAAACTCAGGCGAGAGCACAGAGCCCTTGGCCTCCCACCCAAAAACTGAGCTGCTGGACACAGTTAGCACTGGTTTCCTTTCTGCTCTCAAGTGTTCCAGTTCTAAACTGCTAACCAGCATCAGAGAGAAAGCAAAGCCCCTCACAGGGCACGGAGAGAAGAGGAGCCTAAGGAGGCCTGGTGCTGAGGACAGCAGGATGACCAAGGCCAGGAGCGGGGCAGATGCTGAGCGAGGTGCAGCCTCCCTGAGCTGAGGCAGAGCGTCAAGCGTGGGAGGGGTCCAATGTGGGTGAGAACTGGACTGGGCCATTTTCTGAGCAGTGTGCCAGGAAACTGCATCGGGGTGTCACTGTTCACTTTCCTGATATTAGATATTTATTCTGTCTCTTAAGTGCCCCAAGTACCACAGTGAACGAAGTACCACTGAGATGAACTGTGGCAGATCTCTCTGCCTAACGGTAGGATCCAAAATGGGAAGCCTGGCCAGCCAGGAGGAGGAGGGAAGCTGGTGGAGGAAAAGGTGGCTCTTTGGAGTTAGCCCATGAAGGCTAGAAGACTATTTCCATCTGAGAAGCCAGCCTGACGCCATCAGTCTGGAGGAATTCGGGGCTGCAGAGTGAGTCATTTCACTGAGGCAAGCCACAGTCTCCGTCCCATCCTCGTATCCATCCGCACATGGAACCTCTCCCCATGTAGGCCATGTGCAGAAGGAAGGGTTGCAAAGCACTGTGGGGCATGTCTCACTCTGCCTGGGCACCTGAGAAACCAGGGAGAGGCTCCACGGGCCAGGGGACAGGAGGGCGGGAAGAGTCCCTGAAAGCAAAGTCAGAATCCAGCAACGTTTATACAGAGATCACCTGTACATTGAACACGTGTGTGTGGACAGCACTGCCGGGTCCCGTAGAGGACAGAAAGCAAGTTTACAAACCATTCTTGTCTTAGAGGACTTACTACACATAAGGGGAAACAACAGAAAAGAATTAGGGGTCAAAATGAGATGCATAAATGGAGGCTAAAATCTGTGGCGCAGAACCCAGTCCCATGGTACCCACAGAAGAGCCCATTAAGTCGGCACCAAGGCTGGGTAGAGAGCAGCGCTCACTCCTCTGGAAATGAGCTGGGTCAGGCTCTGGGCTTCTCACAGAAATAGTGGTCACTGCAAAGAAGTTTCCTGACCTAATTGTAGATCATGTTACCGATCAAATAGCTATAGTTTTCTTGTAACAGGAAAAAATTGCATTTCATTACCACGTTCACTTTTTGTTCATTCGGATGCTTTTCTACCTTTGTATCGAGCCCAGCTATGAAGCAGCTAATAGATTATTCTGTTAGTGCGTGTTTGTGGGCACAGTGGCTGTCTGCAGCCTGCAGGGCTGGTACATATGTGTTTCACATCTCGGTCCCTCTGCCCTCCCCTCTCCTCCCTTCCCCAGGTTCCCTCCCTGCCTCTACCAAGATCACCTCCCTGTTTCAGTGTGATTTTGTCCTGTGGCTCCTTTTGTGTAACAGAAAGTGACAAGGACAAAGCCTGGGAACAGAAGTGCATGCCAGGGTGACCCTTCTAAGAGCAGCTCACTCTAATGGTGCACACAGAGAACGGAATACCAGCGCGGCTAGACTCAATACTGCTTTTGACATTGACTTTTTCAGAAAGGTAACAACGTACTTTCATAGAAGGTAAGTCTGGGGTATTAAGTATTCCTGCATAAACTTAGTATTTAATTCATCAACAAATGCCAATCACTGTTCAACAACAGTTGTGCAAATGGCAGGTTTTTCAAGGGACCAGGGACTGAGCAGGCAGGGTGTAGTAATACCCACAGTCACTGTGGAATGTTCAAGAGATAAATAGTTTTGCACTACATTTGGAGAGTGGACTATCAAGCACAGCTAAATTCTCACCTGCTCATTAATCAGCTGCTCATTAAGTTTGCTGTTGAGAGCTTAAAACTGGAATGGTTTAAACACTAAAAAGAACCTATTCTTGGGAAGAGAATTTCTTCTGGAATTTTGCAGTGATCACATCTGGATGAGGAATTACAGCCGGCCACTAGGGGGAGACTCCTTCTCAGAGTTGAGTGACTCAAATTCAGGAAGGGCAGGACTGCATGTTCCACCCACTGGCCAATGGCACCAGACAGGCTTCTTGTGAGAAGGGAAATGGCACCAGTGTGTCTGTAGTCTTGATATTTTCTCCGAGATGCCACTGAGTCAAAAGGAACTTCTGATCGTGTGGTGTGTGGTTTGCGGATCTCAGGAAGCCCCCAGGAAGGGGAGGCCTGAGGAGCTACGGATGACATTGTGACAGCTTTTAGGGGCCATGGCTGAGCTCAGGGGATCAAGGGTCATGGCAGGTGCAGCAGGGAGACCAGATTCTGCCAAGTCTGCTTGCGAAGAGCAAAACAAACTCCAAAGGTGGTGAAGTTGCTCATGAGATAGCCTGCCCTTCCAGCCCCATGCTTTTCTAAAATAACTTAGATGGTGAAAAGAAGAAAACGACAAACTCCTAATGTACACCACACTCCACATGCACGTGACCGTATGCCCTGGAACACAAAATGAAAAAGCATGCTAATTTAGGCATGACAGTGTAAACTTTTAATTAGTACAAGGTGAAGATGTCCAATGGACCCACAATAAAAGCCTGAGAACTGAGTTGCAGAGGACTTCTAGGAGAAAGGGAGAGCTGGGGGAGTGTGTGCTTTTTCACCTGCGGGATGGCTCTGGGGACACGGAAATCCAGGCATCTTGCATATTAGACATTTTAGAACTTAGACAAGGATCACCATCAAAATGGGTCACTAGCGACCTGACTCCTCCTCTCTACAGCCTACACTGCCTTCAGATTTCCAGACTCCATACACTGTGTACATTACGGTAAGTCAGAAACCACAGACCCATTTTGAGGGGAGTCTTCAGGGCAATTTGAATCACCTAAACCATCAGATAGTGAACAAAATCACAGAAGTTTGCAAAGGTGCGAGGCCTGGGAGGCAAAGACAGAGGCAGGCTTTAGGATCTTGGCTGAAGGCTGTCCGCTCATCAGACTGGAATGCAACTGGGGCGTCACCTCCAGGATTACTGCTTTTCAGAGCTTTTGAAGAGGGACCAGGACTTTCCAAATCCTCGTGACACTGTACCAACATCGCCAGGAGTAACAACACAAAACCAAAATAACAATAGGAGGAGTAGATGATCTAAAGTGTGACCTCACAGGCCGAGAAAAGTACTGACCTATTATGGTATAGTGAGCCCTTGGATGGTAATGAGACGGCAAGCTGTGGGCTGTCTCTGTTTTGCCTAAGTCAAAGTGTAATTGGCCACATGAATCATGGTTTTGAAAAAACGCGAATATATCTACAAGCCTCTCCTGTTTGAACTTGTCTTCAATGAACAAAATGGACCCATGGCTCACCTCTGGGGTCTTCCAGCTCCTTGCTGACTTTCTCAGAACAGTTCTCATAGAACTATGGACAGATCCCTGTACTTGTTCTGTGCTCAAGAAAAAATTTTAAATTCTCATATGTGGGACTAGCATTTAAATAAAAAGTCTACAATGGTTGGCTTAAAACACCAGTACAAGATATTTTAACATTTGGTATCTTGAAACACTCCAAAATTTTATATCTTACCAGAGGATGCAAATAGTTTTATTTTTAACGTATAGATGCGAAGCTTCTTGTAATGATTATACTCACAGCAGTAACTACTCTGAAAACTTAAAGGAGACGATGAAAGTGTTGAAACATGATTTTATGGTATGATAGCCAACATTTTAAATGATCTTCAGATTAGCATTTTAGTGGTCTATGAGCTACCTCTCCGTTTATACCTCTGTCTAGGGCCTTGGTTGCAAAGTATCTTTAGGAATGTGAATCAACCAGCTAATTGGTTTTGAAAGTTTTAAGCATGAAATCCATTTTTGTGAGACAAACACATCTTTCAAAGAAATTTTGTATCTGAAGTACCTACCAAAAGCTGTCCAGCGAAGCAGACGAAAAGGATGAAGGCCAGGGAGAGGAACGCAGCTCCGAAGGAAATGCCGAGGATGGATGTTCTACCAGGAGATAAAAAGCAACAGTTAGGGTGAAGGTTGCCCCTACCTTCTGGAGAGCTATGAGAGATACTTTGGTTCCACTGGGGCTTAAAGAAATGAGCACTGAAACCCTCACTGATTATTGTGAGAAATGAAAATGAATCCAAACAAAAAGAATCATTTACCCATAGATTTGTGTGTGGTTATGGTTGATCAACTTGCTGTGACTTATTAGAACTGTCCTAAAAGCATTAGTTCTTTATGACAGAAAAAGACACTTTCTAAGGGGCTGGACTACACGCCTGGCACCGTCATGCTTCACTTGGCCGTGTCTTTCCTCACCACATGGCACGGGAGAGCTCATGCACCACCGTCACTCCTGTGGACCCATTAACACAGAGCTCCCCCAGCGTTCCCGGCCCACCCTGGAAGATTCAGTGTTCTTCAATACAGAGGCAGCTGACTGTTTACTACAGTTCCTCCAAGATCCCACAGAGCAGGCCTTTTATGCTCAGCAGCCAAGGAACAAGGAAGCATCCTGGGAGCACATGAAAAGCACACCCAAGAAGTAAGATTCTACCACTGAGGACAGTTAGAGGCTCATTTATAAAAACTGGACATACTTCTGAGTGTCCTTTTAAATAATTAAAAGCCCTTTAAAATTTCATTTAATACAAGCATAGATGCCTGAGAAGTGCTGAAGACCAGCAAGTAACCAAAGATGACCTTCAAATGGAACATCCAAGGAGAAGCCAGGTGGGTCTGAGACCATAGGGGAACTGTCTGCAGGTGAGACTGGTCAGATAGTGCAGAAGCAGAGGAGGTGTGACACCCCCAGGTGACAGCATGGAAGGGAAGGTCCAGGTGCCAATCAGCAACAAGCTGAAATCATCCATAAGTACACAGCTGCGAGCCACAGAGGAAGAAAACAAGCAAGCAATCAGTACAGAGAGAAAGCCCCTAATACTATGACTAGAAGAAGGCTTCCTTGCCACTACCCCAGACAGCTACAAGAGACGATTACTCAGCCACACGTCAAGCAAGACCTATAAGAACTCGAGTTTAAACCAACCCTCAAACCTGATCCAACGATGTACTGAGCACTGAGTCATGTCCTGTGGATGTGATCCCTGTTTAGAACTTCTCATCTACCGCAGGAGCACATCCGGCATCTCCTAACTTGCTTGCAAACCTTAGCTCAGAATTCAATTTCGTTCTCACTCCCCAGCCAGAAGTCAAGAGAATCCCTGGCTCTCAGCCCCGTGCCTGGAGCTCACAGACTCACCAACACAGCCTCCAGAGGGCGCTTCTTGGCTAGGCCAGGTACAGGGAAGGATGTGTCTCAGTCCTCATCTGAGAGGCAGGAGGACTCTTGTTATTCCTGTGACCAAAGATGGATAAGGAGACCCATGGGCTGAACTTTGGTTTGCCGAAAGCTCCTCGACTTAAATGAAAGGTCCGACAGATCTTCTTGGACTCTATTCTCTCCTAATTCTTTCCCAGGATCACGGTACTGAGGGCCTCATAAAGTAGAGTTCAGAAACACTGCATCATTTTCTTAGGTCTGGAATGGTTTATCGGGTGATCTCTTCTTGGTGGTTTAGTAAACTCAATTATGAAGCTTTCTGATGATAAACATGATGGTGGTGAAGATGACGATGGTGATGATGGGGTGGTGGTGATCGCTATGCATGCTAATGTCCATGCACCTGCTGTCCGAGGGTCTCATGTGTGCAGTTTATTTATCCTCAATATAATCCTACGTAGCAGTTACTATTTCATGTTTTCAAAGAAAAACTTTGCCCAGCGGAGTGGAGAAACCTGCCTACAATTCTTTCTCCATTAAGCAGTGTGCTCACGATCTGTGTCTGTGCAGTGGCTGCTGACCCAGCCTTGGTTCTAGGAGTAGACGTGTCAGAATTCTGTCATGTTTACTGGTTCTACTTCTTGAATCGCTTTTGACAGTGTTCCTGAAAATGTACAGTTTCACCTAGAGTTTCAAATGCAAAATATTCTGTGTAATAGTCTGTTAATTTTAAAAGACTCCACATTTGATTTCAGCTTGTTCTTAATATTTTTATTAGTGTGTGTGTTTGCAATGCACAATAGAAATGCTTATTTTGGGAACTGGTACACTTGCATAACACATGTTGGTCATTTTTAGTCTCTGAATCCCTGTCTCTCACCTTCCTGCTCTCTCTAATCCCCTCTCTGTCTTCAAAATTCTGTCTTCTTGCTTTTTCTTTCCTTTGCGTTATTCATTTATTCACATTTTAGGTTTCTCATAGAAGAGGAACTATGTGATATTTAACTTTCTGTGTCTGACTTATTTTATTCAATGTCTTGTTTTCTTTAGAATAGTCTGTTGAAGTTTTGCATATTTTGTTCTCAAAGGCCGAGTTTTGGATTCATTATTAAAGACTACGCTTTCTGTTATGTTCTATATTAGTTTCTGGTTCTACTTTTAATATCAATTCCTTCTTTATTGAAACATATTGTTCTTTCTCTTGACTGTCATTGATTGCCAATCCTTTTGTATTTCCTAATACATGCATTTGAAGATATAAATATCACAATAATTGCTATTTAGCCAAACCACACAGCTTTTGATTTATATAGCTACTCATTGTCACTCTTCCCAAAAGGCCTATATTTTTTATTTCCATCCTTTTAACAGAAGAATAATTCATAAATCTCATTTTAGGTTCTATAAGGAGATTATTTTTGGCTGGCCCTAATTTCTAATTTCATTACATCTGACCAGAGATTAATTGTTGCTGTGATTATTTCTACTTTGATAATTAATTTTCTTTCTTGAGTATCATAAGTATGCTTTACTTCTAAGTCATCTAGATTTTTCAATACGCATTATTTTTGCTGGTAACAAAGTGTGGTCTTGGAATACATCTACTGACAGAGCCTGATGAGTTATTCAAAACCTTGAAAGGCCGACGTATTCGTTCTGTCAATGCTAGATCAAGCATTAACACTTCCAACGAGTACTGTGAGTTTGCCAATATATTTGAATATTTTAATAATTTCTGCTTTATTTCAAAGAGATGATGGATTGCATAAAAATTTGATTGTTAAATTTGCTTAGAGACTTCAGCTATAATAAAATGTATTTTCATATTCAATGCCTTTCATTTGAATTTTATAATGCAAGAAATTTATATTATTGCAGGTTTTTTTTCTGTAAGCTGTTTCTTGTAATAGCTATTTTCCATCCTCTATTTCCAATCTTTCTTTGTTTTCTATTATAGCCAGATTTCTGATACACAGTGTAGGCAAGACCCTGGTTTATAGTGCCAACCTTTCTAGCCTCTTTCCATGAATAGGGCATTTTTGTCTATCCACAATTATAAAATTTGTTAAGACTTGACCAGTTCTTTTCATCTTGTTTTCTTATAATGTTTGGTAGGAATCACACAGATACCATGTAGGTATGACGTTTCTGTCTTGGAAAGAATTTAAAAAATTAATAAATTTGATAAATACACAACCATTTACATTGTCTATTATGTGGCAGTTTTGGTAAGATGTAATTTCAAGGAATTTCCCATTGTATTTAAAGTGTGAAACTTTCTGGCCTTCAGTAATTTATAACACTTCATATTTATCCTGTTAATGTCTGTGGTGGATTAATTAATGGTCAGCTTGAGTGGGGACGCCCAGCTGAACTGAGTCAGCATGGCTCTGGGCGTGGAAGACCCACGTGAGCATTGTTGCTGGAACAGCATGAAAGGAGAACAGCAGGGGAAGATTGCATGCTTCTGATTTCTCAGGGCATGCTTTTGTTGCAGCTGGTTTTCCTGATAAGGCTGTTCCAGTCAGAGGAGCTTGGGTCCTCACTGTTACCAGGGGCGGCTGCTGTTCTCCGGAGCTCTGGTTTTCACCTTTGTCTTAAGCATTGCTTCCCGGCTCCAGTGCAGATCCCTCAGCCCTCGGGCACAGGTCCTTCAGCCCACCGGTGCAGACTTTGTAGCTTCCATCGCGGGCTGTTGAGCCTTCCCAGTGTAGATTCTTGATACGGACTTACATGAGTGAGACACTGCCGTGGCCTCTAGACCTTGCTAGATTCTGTCTCTAGTGCTTGGACAGATCTCTTGCCCTCCTCTGCATTTGACTTTTTAATGACTATTGTAAGATAATCCTATAAATTACGAGTCCTGAATTAAATCTATTCCCTTGTAAAGCCTGGCTACCCCCATCTCAGGGACCCATTGTGAGCTCCTTCTCACTTGTTAGTTTGGATGCTTTGTCCTCTCCCCCTTTTGTAATCAGTCTTGGTAGAATTGTAAGGATCTTTAAATAACTTTTTAAAGAATACAGTTTTGGTTTTATTAAGTTTCTCTCAATGCTTTTTATTTTAGTGAGTTTTTTAACCTTTAGCATTTATTTCCTTCTACTTGTTTGAGTCTAACCTGGTCATCTTTCTCAGGATTCCAAAGTTGAAAATTTAGGCAACTGATTGTAATTTCTGCTTTAATATAAGAAGTTTAAAGTAACAAATTTCCCCTCTCAATTACTGCATTAATTGTAACCCACACAGTTTAATATATTATCTTTTGTAGTTAAAACATTCAAAAAATTCTATCATGCTCTCTTATTTGACTCATGCATTGTTCCAATGCAGACAGTTTAACTTTGAAATATTAGGTTAATATTTTAGATATTATGCGGTTATTGAGTCTTCATTTGATTTTGGTGTGGTTAAGCAGCAGACTGCAACATTTCATGTTTTAAAATTCATTTCATTCTACTCAAATGTCATGAGGAAATTTTATGGCCTAGTGTAGGTTCTATCCTGGTTGTTGTCCATGTCCCGTTTAAGATAATGTGTATCTGCAATTGAGTATAGTGTTCTTTGTTGCGGTAATTAGGATATTCATAATCTTTCTCGGGTCTTCTGAATCCTTATGTGTACATTACTGATAGAAAAGGGATTTAAGTATGTAGTGCGGATTATGTAGCTTGCCTAATTTTCTTTTTTTCATGACTTTGATAGTTTTACTACTTGT